GGGGGAAAACCCACTCCCATCCGGTCACATGGGCGGCAAGCCACTCCCACAAAGGAGGACACACCCACAGAGTAGGTTCGAACAATTTTTGAAACCCACCACTGGTGTACACACACACACACCAACACCAGCACAACATTGTGTGTGCATCTTTGTATGCAGTTCCCCCCCCCCGATAATCTAAATACAATTGTATGTAAATTTTTAAAATGGCATCTGGTTTAAGTTCTGGGAAATGCATGCTGTAATGCGTTTCTGCATTATAACAAAATAAACATGTTAGATTAGAAAAGCAGCCATTGGCAAGGATTCAACTTTGCAACAAGAGACCAAGTTTTCATCTGTTGGCTTACATTTGAAACATATGTTCCACTGCAGCGAACTGATGATGATTCCCCCACTTCCCAGAATGAAAAAAAATGAGGGCTGAGAAAGAGACCAGTGTTAAATCCTCCACGGGAACAAGAAACCCTAAACGCTACACTTCGTTTTGATTTCCTCCTAGGTCACAATGAAGGCACCCTGGCTATGAAAGAAGGGGAGGTTTTGTATATTATAGAGGAAGATAAAGGAGATGGGTGGACAAGAGCTCGGAGGCAGAACGGAGAAGAAGGATACGTGCCAACTACCTACATAGATGTAACTCTAGAAAAAAACAGTAAAGGTGCAGTAACCTATATCTAATCTCCAGTCCATCGTCTTGTCCATGAACATTGCTTAATGAATACTGAAGCACGTAATTGGATGGAGAAAGTCCCAAACCGTTTTAGGAGTCCTTTCAATATGTGATTGGCTACAGGAGCCCAAACTTAAAAGAGTTCAGTTTTGAAGCTGGAAAATCCCTGCATATAACAACTTTAGATTGTTCTCAGCTTTGCTTAAATGTACATTGTATGTCTTCTTTCTCAGGCCGTATTTTATTGGTTTTCATGGTTTTAATGTTAATTCTTGTAAAGCTTAACTGCTTCGTTTTAAAAGAGCGTCATTTTAGAACAAAATTAATACCATCTCTGGGCAATCGGTTCTTCTTCTTCAACCAGAGCTCGTTCCGGGTGTCCAAGCAATAACTAAATCTTAATTAAATGAAGATGAAGATTGGCTTTTAACTTTTGTTTTCTGAACAGCCGCTCTACTTCTCCTTGCCCTCTGCCCATTTGATACCCTGCAGGAACAGTCTGCAGGCTAATACAATGTAAAGTTATGCAGAAGCAGAGGGAAACTTTGAAAACTTTGCATACCGTTGGCTGCATGTAATGGGACCTAGGGAGTTGCGATGTAGGCTTACCAAACATTCCTATTCTGGAAGTAACTTTTTGCAGCTTTTCCTTTCAAAAATCAAATCCGAGATTCTTAAAAAACGATACAATGGCTATAGCGGCCGCGTAGCTTTCGGATCGGCTCCTTTTTTTTGCTCTTTCTCTCGTATTGGGGATTTTGTACATTTCTGTATTACACAACCGCTTACAACTGCTTCCTGCAAGTCTCTCTTCCTTGCTTCCATTCATCCCTCTAGAAAGTGCCCGTAGGAATAAATGCAGGCCAGTTCCTTTTGTTTAAAAAAATGAAGAGATAAAAGGTCTTTGTACGTGGAGATGTTTTCATGCCGGTTGTTTCATGAAAGATGTTAATCTGTGGTATCGAATGATTAGAATTGGCGTGTTCTAACTTGTATTACTTGGGCTTTCATACTTGTGCATTTTCACTCGCAGCTACTGACCATTTGGAGGTTAAATTGCACTAATTTTCTACTGAGTTGAACGTCTGTTCAGAAAGTGTGACACGGAGAACTCTTGCAAAGGATCTGAGCCATTTATCTAGTGTAATCGTAATAATCGGAGGTGGATGTTTTATAAAGTGGGGGGGAAATGACTATGCTTCTCTCTTTTTTTTTTTTTTGAACGGCCCCTGGTAATTCTGTTCTGTTCTTCTTTTCCTCTCGGATTGCAGGTTCCTGAAGCGGGTATCTGAGAAAATGGGCGAGATGTTGAAGGAGGTTTACATGCAGCTGCTTTTTTGGGGGGAGGGTGTTAGGCCCAGCAAAATGGGGGAAAGCCAGTTGCATGAAAGCATGTAGGCATATGTTTCTCACTAACAATGTTAGCATTTCTCTTTGTGTGTTCCCAAATTGTGGTAAGCTAAAACGCTCCATTCCAACAGAACCAAACCCCACCCCGGTTTGAAAACATATCCGCTCCATAGTTTGACGTTCTGAAATGCTAGCTGTTTTTACCACTTGCATTTTTATACTGGCTGTTTTCAGCTGCTTCCTTTTCCATATCCATTTTTTTTACAAATCAGCATTGAGTCCGAAATCTTCTCATTGACAGTCTTCTGCCTGTGTGCCACTTCCATGCTCGCCCTAACCTTTTCCTGCATGTCTAGATAATGCGTCAGGCATGTTCGCCTAATGTTTTTGTACTTCCATAGTTCTTTCCTCGTCTCTTGCATTTGTAGCATCCTCCAGCACTAAAGTGTTTTGTTTTTTTTAATATATTTCCCCTGCCCGTTTTACGTCGCTGTAATTTGTCCGTTTGTTTTATCTTCTTCATTGTGACCATTTCCAGTTCTTTGGCGTTAACACCGGCTGTGAAAGTAACATTCATTCTGCTTTGGGGATGGAATACATCTTCAGCACTAGGCCATCCCAGCCTATCCTCAGCACCTCAATAATTTCTCATGAGCACTGAAACCCTAGGAATAATAAAGAGCACAGATTTGCCGCTGCAAGACAAACAACTCTTTTCAGAAATCAAGTGCTTGTCATTCAGATGCTGCCTTAAACTCTCGAGTGCCTAAATCTGTTGAGTTGCCAACAATACCACTTCAGTATCCCGCCAAGGGCTATTGGGTCTCAGCTCTGTATGACCTCGTGAATCTTTCTACAGTTCTGCAGCTGTTGGTAGCCAATGGTAGATGCTTTCTCCATCTCTACCATTCCACAACAACAAGGTGCATTGTGAACGTTCAACACACGTTGAAAAACAAAAAGTACATGTATCGATTTTATTTTACGTCCAATGAATGTTTTTAATAGGATTTTTATGGAGCCTTTTTTTTAATTGCCTATTATTATTATTATTTTTTCGAGTTGGGGAATGGGATAAAAGACACCAGTTTTCAAACGAACTGCCGTGCTTGTCTTATTTCCAAGTATGCTTTATTGTAAGGAACCCAGTTAAAAATTGAAGTGATAACTTTGTAATGATCTGTGTGCACTTTTTATTTGTAAACATAATTGCGATTTGGACACATTTATACATGTAAATATAGTTGTCTCCCGCACCCTGGTCATTGCTCATGTTATTTGTCTTGCCATTTGTGAATTATGTTAATGAAAACATCGAATCTAAGCAAAATAGGGTCATCTTAGTATAAGGGGAGGGATGGGGGGGGGAAAGGAGCGGTTAAATTTAAGCTTCATAAACCAGCTTACTGCTGTTTGTGGTAATATTTAAAATCCTGCTTTTCTGAAGGTGGGAAATCAAAGCAATATTTGAACACAGCGATGCTGGTGGGATTCCTTTAGAACTTTTTTCAGTGTTACTAGCCACTATTACACAGATGATTTAGTATATTTACATTGAGGGTGATAAAACACTAAAGGTTAAAGAGTTTTGGGATATTGTAAACAGGGTTATTTATAATAATGTGACCATATGCCATTACTGACCAAACTACATCGAATAGTTGTTTGTTTAATGCTGGCTTTTTTTTTTAATTAAAAAAAAATATATCTCCAAATGAAAGACAATGATTTTAAGGTTCTCACTCTTCCAGCCAAGGAACCCTATGGATTTAGTTTAACAGCCAGTTTGAGCTGCTTTTAACACTTCTAGTAAAGGACTAATAGTTCTTTTGTGCTACTGTTTTTTGTAAGGCAGGATTTGTTAACTCAGGAGGATATTTTCCTTCCTGTGGTTATAAAGCAACCTTTATGAGGGTAGTTTAAATGTAAAGGGGAGGGGGGAAAAAAATCTTTGTACTTGCACAGTTGGCTTAAAATTATTTTGAAATGTTGAGAATTAATTGTCTTTTGAGTCATAACTTCAGTAATTTTTAATCTTTCGTGCACGTGTTGATTTTTTAAATGTTTCAATGCTTTGTTAAATAATAGTCGTTCTCTTCAAAATATTTTCATGGAATTAAACAATCTTTTCATGGCCCTCATCATTTCTTTGTCTTCTGTTGCAGGCAAGTCTATAGGGCAGCGTTTGTCTTGTTTAATTTATCATAAATATAGCAGTTAGCAGTTAGACTTATATACCGCTTCATAGGGCTTTCAGCCCTCTCTAAGCGGTTTACAGAGTCAGCATATCGCCCCCCAACAACAATCCTGGTCCTCATTTTACCCACCTCGGAAGGATGGAAGGCTGAGTCAACCCTGAGCCGGTGAGATTTGAACC